GGGCAATTATTAAGTACCCTGAAACAAAAACCAGATGAAGACATTACAGGAAACCTACACCAGTATCCCTTTTGAATCTAGAGCAAATATCTTCCACAGAATGTTAGGAAATCAGCCTTACATTATATAAAAAGGATAATACGCTGTGACCAGTGGGGTTTATCTCAGGAATATATCACAACATTTGAAAAAAGTAGTCAGTGTAATTTGCCATATCATAAGATTAAATAAAACCATAAGATCATCTCAACAAATGCAATAAAAAGATGACAAAATTCGTCACCCATTCTGATAACTCTTAAACAAACAAAAAGAATAGAAGGAAACTTCCTCAACTTGATAAAGGGCATCTACAAAAACCTACAGGTAAAATTGTACTTAAAAGTAAAAAACTGAAAGCTTTTGCCCTAAGCTTGAGCACATCACCATGCATATTCATAATTGTGCAGGTGACCCTGACTAATGCAATAATGCAATTTTTTAAAAAGAGCATAAAGATCATAAGTGAAGATGTAAAAGAATCTCATCTGCAGTTGACAAACTCTCTAAAAAGTGCTGTTAGAACTATTAAATGAGTTTAGCAGAATATAAAGTCCAAGTATAAACCAATTGTATTTCTATAACAGTAATGAATAACTTAATTAAAATTTAAAATATCATTTATAGTAGTAACAAAAATATGTAGCAATCAAGGAAGAATTTATCAAAAAATATGTGAGACCTGTATACTGAAAATCCCCCAACTGCTGAAAGTAAAAACCAAATAAAGAGATATCCATATTCATGGATTGAAAGAATCATTATTGTCAAATAATTATTGACAGATTATTATTATCCATTCTCTGAAAGTTGATCTATTGATTCAATTCAAAATGCCAGCAGACTTTTAAGAATTGAAAATATAATTATAAAATTTATTTGAAAATTTAAACAACAGACCTAGAATAGCCAAAACAATTTTGCAAAGGAAGAACAAAGTCAAAGGAATTTTGTCATCTGATTCAAAACTCTTTGTAAAGTTTTAGTAACCAAGACAACCTGGTATTCTCATAAAGGTGGATATGTAAGTCATAGATCAGAAGAGACTCTAGAAATTGACCCAAATGTGTATGGTCAATTGATTGTTGACAAAATTGCCAAGGTACATCAAAATGAGGAAAAGGACAATCTTTTCAACAAATGGTGCTGGGACAATCAGATATACGTATACAGTATTACAAACTGACTATATCATGTTCAGAAATTAAATAGAAATGGATCAACGACCTAAAAAACATAAGAGCTAAAACTATATAACTTGTAGAAGAAACAGGATAAAACCTTGGTAACCTTGAGTTATAAATAGATTTCTCAGGATACAAAAGCATGAACCATAAAAGAAAAGAGGGATGAACTGGGTTTTGTGAAAATTCAAAACATTGCCAAGAAAATGAAAAAGTAAATTATAAATTGAGAGAAAGTATTTGCAACACACTGTCTGATAAAGTGTATTTAGGACATTTTAAGGACTGTCAGAACTCAATGATGTGAAACAGCCTTACAAAAATGGACAAAAGATTTGAACATTTAAGCAAAGAAGAGATACAGGTAGCAAATAAGCACATGTAAAGATTCTCAGTGTCATTAGTATTTAGGAAAATGCAATTAAAAAAAATGAGATACCATTATACACCTGTTACAACACAAAAAGATGAAAATTAACAATGTGGAGTGCTGACAAGTGTGTTAAGTAACTAGAACTCATACATTTGGGAGTGTGAACTGGTACAGCCACTTTAGGAAGCAGTTTGACAGTTGTTTAAGAACTTAAATGTGTACTGACCATATAGTATATCAGTTCTACTAGTGGGTATTCACTCAAGAGAAAGGAAGACATATAATATGCAAAACTGGAAATAACTCAAATGTCCATTAATTGGTATATGGAGAAATAAAATGTAGTATCTCTCCACACAATGGAATACTGCTCAGTAATGCAAGGGAATAAATTACTATAATCTCCACAACATGTATAAATCCCAAAGCTTTAGGCTGAGTGAAGGAAACCAGACGCAAAAAGCTATATACTATATGATTCCATTTATATGAAATTCCAGGCAAGTCAAAATTACAGTGATAGAAAACAGATCAGTGGTTGAGCGGAGCCAGGACATGGAGGGGTAGGAGTTTACTTTGTAAAAGAACATGTGGGGTGATGGATGTTTAACATCATGATTGTGGTGGTGTCACAGCTGTATACATTGCCAAAATTCATTTAAGTATACACGTAAAACTGGTGAATATTACTGTACTTCTCATAATTTATTGTTATGTCTCAAAAAGTGGATTTAAAAAACAAACTAAAGCAAAAATCCTAAATGAGGCACGGACGGTAAAGATAAAAGGATGGGCAAAGATATAATAGAACATGAACAAATGTATTTCGGACACTTTAGAATTCAGTGATAATCCATGAAATATGAAATACCATGAAGTAGACCTTTTTAAATTATAGTATGACAAAACTAGAAATCAGTAACAAAAGTTTAAAATTTATAAACTACTCGAAAATGTAAACACTATCTCATGAAGTTGTTAGCAAGACAAAGGAAATCCAAACCACAAAAACAGGAATTTAAAAAGTAATGAAACTATCAATTCAGTGCAATGGAATTTTGGGATGCTACCACAGATGCTCTGGGAATTGTATTTAAAATGACGTTATTAGTACAAAGGTTGACAGATCAGTGGAAGAGAGTAAATAAATAAATAAACTGAGCCTCATCTATTTAGCTTCCCCAGGGTTTTGTTTTCAAAACCATAGTTCTTTTTTCTATTTCTAATTCTTGGTTATCTTTTTCCAGTTATTGGAGTGTCCTCACAGTTTTTATCAATTGCCACTACGTTTCTGGTTCCAAGAAAATAGAGAAATTTGCATTTGCCCCATTTTGACATAATGGAAATTCAAGGTTATTAGGTATGACTGTGTTCATAGAAAAACAGCAAAAATAAGTTTCTGAAGAGATTAGCAATGACTTTCCTTGTGTGAGGGAACCCAGGATTGAACTTTGGGTCTTCTTTTTCTAAGTAATTTCTGAATTTTTTTACTATTCTTAATTTTTTGTTTTCTTACTGTTTTAAGTTAAGCATATATTGCTTCTAGAAAAAGAACATGTGAAAATAAACTTTTTTTTAAGAGAGAAAATATTTTTATTAGATTTGATTAGGAAAGATTTTTTTGAGGATATGGATTCAGAATTTATCCTTGAAGAATAGATAGAATTTGGAAATATATTTTAGGTAAGCAGAAGAGTCTTGGAGATGGTAAAATATTGGATATATAATGGGTTACTAGTTCTTCTAGCATTTTCCCACCTTTTCACATATATTAGATATTTTCTAACCACTTTTAAACATGAGGATTTTCGAAAATTGAACTTCAGTCTTCACTGGTAAGCTCATCCATTTCTGGGAGAATTCTTCATTTTGGTATTGGCTTCCATCTTATAGCACTTCGGTTTTGCCCTTTCTGGTTTTTTTTTTGTTTTGTTTTGTTTTGTTTTGTTTTTCCTTTTGCGGCACGCACGCCTCTCACCGCTGTTGCCTCTCCGGCTGCGGAGCACAGGCTCCGGACGCTCAGACCCAGCGGCCACGGCTCACGGGCCCAGCCGCTCCATGGCATGCGGGACCCTCCCGGACCGGGGCACGAACCAGCGCCCCCTGCATCAGCAGGCGGACTCCCAACCACTGTGCCACCAGGGAAACCCGTCCTTTCTGGTTTTGAACACATCTCTTAAGCTTTTATTTCTGTTGTTTGAAATTTTAATTCTAACATCTACTTTTTTTTTATCTCATACTTTTGAATTTCTTCATTATATTAATTCCACTTCTTTTGAATTATTTTATTTATGCTATTTATTTTTCTTCCTTGTTAATTTTTCTGTTTTATTGGATTTGGTGGCTTTTCCTTCATTGTGCTGCTTTCCTTCCGTGTTTGTTAGTTGTTAGTCATCTTTGTATTTGAAAATTTTTCTCCTGTCTGTTGGTTGTTTTCAACATAGCCTGCTTCTGCTGTTGGTGAGGGTTGTACCTACCTAAAACATGAAGCCATATCTCTGTATTCAGCTGCTTTGATCTCTGGGTGAAAGTCACCATGTAACACGAACGGAGGAGGAAGACAGAGCTGTCCCTCCCAACTCCTCAACTGGTCATCCTCAGGCTTGTCCCTCTTCCTGAATTACTTGATTCAGCTTCTCCAGAACCAGCCTTTTCTCTGGAGAAGTCTTTTCCTATGTGCTGTGGTTTTCTCTGGTAGTTCACTAGATCTAATCCTGCCTGTTTTTTTTTATCCTTGGGGAATTTCTCAAAATGTTTATTTCATTACTAGTAACATTCGGTTTTGATTTCTAGCCTGATTGTCTATTAAAAATATCTCTCATTTTAAATAATTTTGTTTGTAGAAAGAGGTACAAGTGCGTGCTTAGTCTGTCATTTGATCTAACTTGATAATATTTAATACTTAGCAGCATTTTCAGTGATACATTTGGACTAATTGCAGAGTAATCCTAGAGCTATAAACCTTTGGTTTTTGAGTGTAATTATGAAGCAAGATAAATGACCCGTGTGTGTTTTCTATTGGGAAACATGAAATGGTTTAACCATGGCTCTTTTAGCATTTTCACAAATATCTAGATTAGAGTATGGATCATTCTGCCAAAGAGGAAGCTAGCATTTGAGATTTGAGCAGTTAATTCACTTCTGAAAAGTCATTAAGTACTTTTTCCTTTGTTAACTAGTTAATTCATTTGACCTGAAGTTACTCTCAAGATTGCTAATCTAACGCTGGGAGAATAACTAGGAAAACGCTCATCAGATGCCGTAGAATGGTGTCACAGTGCTCAAGTAAAAAGGGAAATAATCCTCCCAGTATTACACATTGTGGAACACTTGTCATTATTTTTATCTTCACGTAACTAAACTGTGCTTAGCTGAAACTTTGTTATTGTATCGTCTTCTCCTAGCTTGATGCAGTCAGAAGCAATCTTCAGAAAATCAGAGAAACTAAAAGTGATGATATAAGTGCTGCTAACACTAAGAACCCAGGGAAGAACATGCGAGTCACTAAAAACAAACCAAGAGATCCGCAGCCAGCAACTGAAGATCCAGATAATGATGTTACTGTGGAGGACGACAAGCAAGAAAAGGCAAATAAAAAGGCTATAAAAACAGCACTCCAGGTGACAACACAAGAAGTGGAGCCGGAAACTCCTGAGAAGAAGGCGGATGCAACACCCCAGAAAGCATGGACCAAGCCACTGCCAGGTGTCACTCGTGAGAAAAGTGAGAAGGCCAAGGAAGGAGAAAATAGTTTAGATGAGGAAGAACTGATGCAAGTATACCAGCTCCAAGTAGCTGAAGAAATGGCAAAGGAGATTAAGAAGAAAATCCAAAAGAAACTCAAGGAGCAGTTGGCTTACTTTCCCTCAGAGACTTCCTTTCCTTCAGATACTTCATTGTATGATGACAAATTGAACGGTGAAAAAAGAAAAAAGAAAAAAAAGAAAGTTCCAATCCTGTCTAAATCTGAAACAAGGTATGTTACATTGATAAATATAAAATGTCCTCTTAAAAAAACACTATTATTTTCAGCTTTTCAGTGATAACCTGTAGTTTTGTTACTGAGTCTAAGATCATACTGCTCGCCGCATGACAGGCCAATAATCGAGAGATGGGTTGCTGGGGCAAGGAATGATGGCTTTATTTGGAAAGCTGGCAAACCGAGAAGATGGTGGGATCGTGCCCCCAAAGAACCATCTTGCCTGAGTTAGAATTCAGGCTCCTTTCATACTAGAAGGGGAAGGAGTAAAGTCAAACACTTCCTGGTTCCCATCAGCCTCCAGAGCCTCCAGAGGGGATATGTTAATTTCTTCCTCCCTGCAGTCATTCACAGGTGGGCCTGGTCAGGATGTTTCCTGTGAGCTAAACAAAGGTATTTTAGCTTAATGCTCATTACCTGGGAAGCAGGGCTCCCAGAGATGGGCCATTATGTATAATTTAAGCTTATAGGCAACATCCCTTTAGTGATTAACTTGTAATAGAATACAAAAGGTTCTTCCCTATTACATTTTCACAAAGAAAATGTTTAGTCCTCCTTTTGGACACATAGCCAGTACAATACTAACGGCTAACCTTTATGTGGCCCCTTCCTGTGTGCTTAATGCTTTACAAGGAATACATGCTTTTTCCCTTATAACAACCCTGTAAGGAATAATATTATCATCCTGTTTTGCAGGTGAGGAAACTGAAGGGTTTAAGTCACAGAACCAGTAAGAAGCTGAGCCAGAACCTTGGCAGTTTTGCCTTAAGAGTCTTTACCCTAACTATTCACATCTGCTTATTAAATAATTGAAACCTAAGTAGCCCCTTTATTGAGCTACAAATGCCTGTTTGGATATATGAAAATAACATTTTCCCCTTAGTTTACAAATAACATTTACTCATTGTAGAACACACAGACACAGAGAGGAAAACAAAAGTAATCCAACCGTACAAAGATAATCACTATTAGCAATTTTGTATTCCTTTAGTCTTTTTTTTTGTTTTTTGTTTTTTTTTTTTGCGGTACGTGGGCCTCTCACTGTTGTGGCCTCTCCCGTTGCGGAGCACAGGCTCCGGATGCGCAGGCTCAGCGGCCATGGCTCATGGGCCCAGCCGCTCTGCGGCATGTGGGATCTTCCCAGACCGGGGCACGAACCTGTGTCCCCTGCGTTGGCAGGCGGACTCTCAACCACTGTGCCACCAGGGGAGCCCTCCTTTAGTCTTTTTTTATATACAATGCTTATACATATATGCTTACATATACAATGTGAGCATCTGTGATTATATTCATATTTATATGTCTCTCCTTGGGGAAAACAAGACAAAAAAAATCTTTTAACTACTGTGATTAAATTTGTTTTTCATAATCTACATCTGGATAAACAACTTGAGGTGGGAACAGTCTGTATTTGACTATTCTCTGGCTTTCAGGGTCAGTTTCCCTTAATGTCCTCATCTAAAAATAATTCCCTTCTTATCAAAAGCTAGACAACCAGTTGTAGCAAAGAGAGGGCAAATAGAGTTGCTAACAGGGACACGTTAGCATATGAATTAATTATCGGTTGCTGCATTAAAAAGTTACCCCAGAATTTAACAGCTCAAAACAACAAACATATATTGTCTCACAGTTTCTGTGCCTCAGGAATCTGCGCATAGCTTAGCTGGGTGCCTCTGACTCAGGGTCTCACAGGCTACAGTCAGGATGTTAGCTGGGGCTGCAGCCATCTCAAGGCTTGGCTGGGGGAAGATCTGCCAAATGATGCAGCTGTTGGAAGACTTGGATGATCCACTGCTAAACTCACTCATATGGCCATTAGCAGGTCTCAGGTCCTGACTGGCTTTTGACCAGAGACATCAGGTCCTTGCCACATGGACCTTTTCATGTGGGCTACTCACAACAGGGCCACTTGCTTCCCCCAAGCAAGGGCTCTGAGAGGGAAAAAGCAAGACCAAAGTCGCAGTCTTTTTGGAACCTAATCTTAGAAGTAGCACCAATTACTTTTCCTATATTCTGTCTATTAGAAGTAAGTCGCTAGGCCCAGCCCACAATCAAGGAAGGAGATTACACAAAGATATGAATATCAAGAGGCAGGGATCATTGGGGACCACCTTAAAGGCTGCTTACTACAGTGTGCCATAAATCCTATTTCTTCTCATAACTACCATATCTGTTATGAAGTGTAAGTCATACTCAGTAAGATCAGTTCATGAGTTTTAAATAAAACCATGCTTTACATGACAACAGCATACAAAGGGTAATTGTTCTCTTTAAATAATAGTATTTGATGATGTGATAAAATAACATGGCTTTCTGGAATGACTAGTTTGAAACATTTCTTTACTCTTTATTTCTCAACCTCTTTTTTTGAAATATGACTAAATATATTGTAAGTCAATTTTTGATTATTAAATGCAGATTTCTTTTTTACTTGATAAATCACAAACTTTAATAGGCTGGTTTCTCTTTACAACTCAGTATGCTTCTAGGCTGCCACCCCTTGCCATTTAGTAGTTCATGTGATGCATATTTTAATTGTAATAATAGCCTTCTGAAAATGCAGTGACACACCAAACGTTGGAAAACACAAGAAATTAATTTTTACATAGAAATCAAAGGTTGACTATCTGAAGCCTCTTGAAAACAGAACAACCAAAATTAGAACACTTTTTTTGCTTTTAAATAAAGTAATTTAGAAATTTGTTCTTTATTTATTTACTTGGCAGTAGAGTGAGGATGATTTGACAATCCTATGTAAAAACAGATCCATCGATCATAAAATACAATTTCACTTTTCGCTGGAGTTTAGAGATGAGTTTAATGTGGCTCATGGGGTATATAATGTATCACCAAGCGTAACTGAGTACACATAATACCTAGTTTGGCAGCCAACCATTTTAGTGTGTAAGAAAATGTATGTATCTCCCAGCAGGAAATAATACTGATTTTAGGATTATCTGTGCCTCTATTCACTGTTTACTTTGCTGCACAGTAATAATAATAATGGTACATTTCCAATGGCTTGAACTTGGATTATATTTGCAGTACATTGATCATCTCTGATGACCCAGTTGAAGGTGAACAAAAGAAGGAATCTCCAGTTGGAGCAGTTACTTCAGATTCTCATCAAGATGATGAAATAAGCTCAAAGGAACAAAATGTAGAAGACAATGTGCAAGATGATGCAAAATCCAAACTGAAAAAGAAGAAGGCTAAAACAGGTTTGTTACCCAAATTAAATGAAAAATGTGTGCCTTGGTAAGAATAACTTGATTCTAGGACTGTTAGTCCTTAAAACTAAAGAAAATCTAGTTCCAAAGGATATAATTGAAAAAAATCCAATATAGAACATTTGGTACTTACTCTTGGATTCGTCCAGATTATAACATTTATTTATAACTGTGGACCTCTGTGATGAGTTAGTCTTACTTGAGTCATCTCTAATTAACGACTTGATTCACCTCTAGAATGACATTGTCTTTGTTGTTGCTACTGTGGCATAGAAGATTTCTTCTTTATGTTATTGCCCCTAAATAATTAAGACTTACAGCACTGAAAGCTATAAAATGGTCAATAGCCGATAAACATTTCAGATGTTAAAGCTGCATCCCTCTGTCAAACATGGTATCTTCACAATTTCTCCTAATTCAGCTTCTCTCCTTCCTGCCCACTTTTCATTTTACCTCTTGCTTTCTACCCTCCTCTTTACTCATTTCATTTTTCTTATTTTTCTTTACTTATTCTTGCCTTTTTTCTGCTTGTTACATTTCTTTTTTTTTTCTTTTCAATTCCCATTTAACTGCCCAAAAATTGGGACTAAAATAGGCAATTTTAGACTTTATGGTACTTATTCATTGGATGATGCAATTTATGGTGTTTTGTGGTTCCATAATTAATTTTTTAAAAAGTAAAATGTACAAGTATACTACTTAGTGAATTTTCACAAACTGAACGTGTCTGTAAAGTCATCATCCAAATTAAGAGCCAGAGCATCATTAGCACCCAGAAGCCCCCACAAGTTCCCTTCCTGTTCATTATCCTACAGGAGTAAACGCTGCCTTTTCATCTAACACATAGCCAATTTTTCCTGGTTTTTCTGCTTTAATATAAATAGAACAATAAATACTGTGCTCTTTGTGTCTGGCTTTTTTTGCTCAAAATTATTTTTGTGAGATTTATACTGTTGTTGCTTGCACTTGAGCTTATGCATCATCAGTCCTGTTTTTGTACTGTGTAGATACCCGTTGTGTGAATATACCACAATTAATTACCTATTCTGTTGATGGACATTTGAGGTGTTTCTAGTATTAAGCGATTATAAATAAAGCTATAATGAACATTCTGTTCACATCTTTGGTGAGCACATGTATACATTTTTCTTGGGCACATTCTTGGCATTCTTGCTATGCCATAGAGTATGTATATTTTTCACTTTAACAGGCACTTCTCCCTTTCCAAACTTGGGTTACCAATTGATACTAGCAGTATTTGAGAGCTTCCATTACTCTACATCTTCACCAATATTTATATTGTCAGTGTTTTAAAATTTTAGTGATTCTTAGGAGTGTTTAGTGATTATTCCCTTTTGACTTTGATTTGATTTCTATGGTAACTAGTGAAGTTGAGCATCTTATTCATGTTAATTGACTACTTGGATTCCTTCATTGTAAATTTGTTCACATCTTCTGTGTATTTTTTTAAGAAATGGAATTGTCTGCCTTTTTCTAGTTAATTTGTAAGAATATTTTATATAACTAGATAGCAGTCTTTTCTCAGATATAAATACATATATATATTGCAAATGTCTTCCCACTCTGGGTTTTATAATTTTTCTCCTACTGGTGTCTTTTGAAAAACGGAATTTAAAAATTTTATATAGCCCAGTGTATCCATTTTTCCCTTCGATGTTAAGTGCTTTCTGTGATTTTAGAAATCTTTCCCAAGTCCTGAAGATGTTTCGCTGTATATTATTTTCTAAAAGTTTTTTTGTTTCACTTTTCACATTTAGATTTCCGGTTTATCTGGTATTGATTTTTAATAGTGGTAGTGGTCCAGACCCATTTTTTTCTCGTATGAATATATAATTGACCTAGTACCATTTACTGAAGAGAGCTTTTCCTCTGCATTTCAGTGTCACTTTTATCATAAATAACATGACTGTGTAAGTGGGTCAGTTTTCACTAGTCTCTATCCTTAGATGGTTTGCACCAACACCACCACCATGTCTTAGTTCTATAGCTTTATAATAGGTCTTTCTGTTAATAATGATAGTTTTATTGCTTCTTTTTTAGTTCTTATGTCTTACTCCTTATTCTTACCTTGATAACACTGGCTAGGACTTTGATTACAGTGTTAAATAGAAGTGACAATAACAAGCATCCTTCTCTAGCTCTCAGCCTTGGGGAAAGCTTCCATTATTTCACCACTGACTGTGTTGTTTGCTATAGGTTTTTTTGTAAATACCTCTTGTTGGATTAATTACCGGCTATTCCTAATTGGCTAATAGCTTTTTTTATTATTATGACTAGTTACTGAATTTTATCAGGTGCTTTTTCTGCATCTATCAACATAATCATATTAATTTTCACCCTTTTTTCTATTAATGTAGTTAATCGTTATTTGATTATTAAGCCATCTTTATGTTTCTGGCAGAGGTGGGGGGCACCCACTTTGTTGTGGTGTATTAGCTTTCTTTTTTAAAATCTATTATTGGATTTGATTTGCTGATACTTTGTTAAGGATTTTTGTAACTGTAGTCATGAGAGAGATTGGTTTGTACTACGCTTTCTTAAAATACACAGAGTTTGTAATACCAAGGTTTTGGTGGTCTCAGAAGGAATTGGGAAATACTTCCCTTTTCAATTCTCTGTAAGTATTTGTATAAATTGGTGTTACGCCTTCCTTAAATGTTTGAAGAATTTACTAATAAAGCCTCTGAGGCCAAGGTTCTCTTTGTGGAAAGAATTTTAAATCAGATTTAGTTTTTTTCATAAATACCAGACTCTTCATATTTTCCGTTCCTTCTATCAGCTTTGATAGACTGTATTTTTTGAGGAATTTGTCCATTTAATATGGATTTTCAAATTTTGTATGTCTATAGTATCTGAAAGGGTACCCCTTGATATTGGTAATTAGATTCCCTCTATTTCTTCATTAGTCTCAGGATTTTCAATTTATAAATACTTTTAAAGGACCAACCTCTAGCTTTCATTTCTATCTGTTATACATTTGTGTATGATTTTGGTAATTTCTTCTGTCTATATTATTTCCTTTTTTCTACTTTCTTTGGGTTTGAGTTGCTGTTGATTTCTAGCTTTACAGGTGGATTTTTTAAGATTTCAGTCTTCCTTTGTATGCATCTAACGCATTAAGTTACCATCTAAGCACTACTTTATCTGCATCCCACAAATTTTTGATACGTTCTGTATTCATTATCATTCCATAAAAATATTTCCTAATTTCTATTTAAATTTCTCCTTTGATCATTCATTATTTAGAAGCATATTGTTTAGTTTCAGGCAGCAGGTGATTTTCTAGTTATCTTTTTTTTTTTTTTGGTTTTTATCTTCCATGGTTGTCAAAGAACATATTGTGAACGATTTCAATCTTTCGAATTTATCACAGCTTTCTTTATGACCACCTTATGATTGATTTGGTAAATATGCCACGTGCACTTGAAAAGAACATGAATTCTGATGTCATTGGGTGCGGTGGTGTCCTGTGTATGTCACATCAAGTTTATTGTGTTCTCATCTTACTGATTTTTTGTTTTTGTCTGCTTATTGTATTAGCTACTGAGACGAGTATTAAAATTCCCACTATTTTGCATTTCTGTTTTTATTTCTGTCATTTTTTTCTTTATATATTTTGGAGCTATGTTATTGAATATATATACGTGCTTAGGATTGTTATATCTTCCTGTCAAATTGACACTTTTATTATTGTCTTAGTTCATTCAGGGTGCTATAACAAAATACCATGACTGAATGGCTTAAACTATAAATATTTATTATTCATGGTTCTGGAGGCTGTGAAATCCAAGATCAAGGTGCCTGCAGATTCAATGTGAAAGGGGCAAGAGAGTTCTCTGGGTTCTCTTTTATAAGGGCACTAACCCCATGCATGAAGGCTCTACCCTCATGACCTAATCACCTTCTGAAGGCCCAACCTCTTAATACTATTTCATTGAAGGTTAGGATTTCAACATATGAGTTTTGGGGAGTCACAGGCATTCTGTCTATAGCAATCATTATGCAGTGTCCTTCTTTATCTCTGGTAACCATTCTCCCTTAAAGTCTACTTATGGTCTGAGTTTGCATAGTACATTTTTTCCCTTCCTCGTTTCTCCAGCATCATCCACAGTGTACCCCTAGGTGGTGCCAACCTGGTTGAGAAAGGACAGACTTGAAACCTGTGCTTGGTTCATGGTCTCCAGGTCTAGGCAGGGCTTGCCAGTACTTCATTCCTCTAGTAGCCCCTAGGCTCCCTGTGTGTGCCTTCTTTGTACTTCCTTTGTTTGGGCCACAGTATGCCTGTATTCCTTTCCTTTTTGCCTTCACCTCTTTTCTTCTCCTACTCCAGCACATGTGGGGTCTCAGCCCCCAGGCTGTGAACTCCTTGGGGACAGGTGCCCAATAAATGTGAAGTGCTCTTGTGCCTCCCCCAATATCCTCTTGTTTGCGACCTTTCTGTGTCCTTATATTTATCACCTCACTGTTAGTTTTTCCATATGACCTAAGTGGTTTTTTTTTTGTTTGTTTTTTAATTTTATTTATTTATTTATTATTTTTGGCTGTGTTGGGCCTTTGTTTCTGTGTGAGGGCTTTCTCTAGTTGTGGCGAGCGGGGGCCACTCTTCATCGTGGTGCGCGGGCCTCTCACTGTTGCGGCCTCTCTTGTTGCGGAGCACGGGCTCCAGACGCGCAGGCTTAGTAGTTGTGGCTCATGGGTCCAGTTGCTCTGCGGCATGTGGGATCTTCCCAGACCAGGGCTCGAACCCGTGTCCCCTGCATCGGCAGGTGGACTCTCAACCACTGCGCCACCAAGGAAGCCCTGACCTAAGTGTTTTATGTTTCTTATTCTCCTTGCCTTCTTTTGAATTATTCAGGTCACTTTAAAAATTTTGTTCCCTCTATTAACTTATTAATTACACATATTTCTACTATCTTTTAGCTGATACCCTGAAGAACATTAAGTTTATTCTTGACTTATTATAGTCTAATACAAACTAACTCCCTAACAAAATACACTTCCCCAACACTACTAAAACCTGAGAATAGTTTGACTCCATTTGGATTTTGTCAGGTGCTTTCTTTCTCTGCATCTATCCCCCCTCCTGCCTTCTAGGTTCTTATCCTGTATTTTAGGCCTATATATATTTTAAACTTCACAGATGTTACAGTTACCATTTTTTGTACAGTTGATATTAATTTATATTCACCCCCAAATTTACTTTTTCCTTTATTTCCATTTTTCCATTTTTCATCTGCTTGAAGAATTCAGTTTATTCTCTCTCTTAGTGCAGGCCTGCTAATTCACTCAGATTTTGTTGTGTTAAAATGCCTTTACCTTCATTTTTGAAGCATATTTACTAATATATAATTTTAGGTTACAGGAAATCATACAGTTGTCTTCTGGCTTCCATCATTTTTGTTCCCAACTGCAGTCTTATTTCTGTCCCTTTGAGGGGACTGTTGTCTTTTTTTTCCCTCTGGCTGCTCTTTAGATTTTCCTTTTGTCTTTGGTTTCAACATTTTATCATGCTATGCCTAAATATAGCTTTGATGGAATTCACCCTGCTTAGAGTTTACTGATTGATATCATTTATCAGTTGTGGAAAATTCTTAGTCATTATTTCTTTAAATATGGCTTCTTCATCATCCTCTCATGTTTTTCTAGATTATAATTTCACAAACTCTTTTGAGTTTGTCCACATGTTTCTTATGTTTTTTTCCCCCATATTCTTTTGTTTTTTTTCCATTATGCTTTGGTTTGGATATTTATATTGATTTTTCTTCTAGTTCACTAATAATGTCTTCCTTTGTGTCCAGGATGCTTTTAGGCACATCCATTGAATTCTTAATTTCAGACATTATATTTTTCAGTTCCATAATGCCTGTTATTTTTATGACTTTCAATTCTCTGTAGAAAGTCTCTATTTTAAAAAATAATTTTGTCCATCTTTCCTGTGCTAACTCCAGGCTGAATCATCTGTGGGTCTGCTTCTGTTTTCTGTGTTTTCTCTTGGTTATTGGTCATACAGTCTTGCCTCTTTTATGTCTAGCAACTTTTTTATTATATGCTGGACATCGTGTATAGAATCGCAGAGGCTCCAGATGATTTTATCTTCCACTAGAGAGGGGTTCCTCTTTCCACTTTTAGGCAGACAGGGTGGGCAACTGATTTCAACTAATCTGAGCTAAGTCAGATCTGGGTTGCAGTTTTGGTAAGACTCTTATCTCTGATTTGCCCTGTTCCTAGGCTGTGCCCTTCCAGGTGTTTCAGATTGAGAGCCTGGCAGGTATTTGTCTTGTCCACCCTAAAAGGCTTTGGGAGATTCAGTTTTGCCTTTCAGAGGTCTCAGCTTAGTCCTTTAGCCTTCTGCCCCATGCAACTTCAAATTTTGGCAAATGTCTTGAGGGAGAGACTGGCCGTGTGTTTGAGGCCCCTCAAGTCTCCAATTTTGTCACTCCAGCCCTGCGTGAATGCCAAAATCTCTGCTGGTTTCTCTGTCCCCCAGTAGGGGCCTTCTGCCAGGGGGTACGCCTGGATTCTCAACCTCTAGATGGGCCTAGAATTGGTAAGTGACCCCAGGTGAAAAGTGGCTGTAGGCATAAAATGACCATGCCCTCCAGGGCTTCCTCCTTGCCTGTTTTGTTTCAGGCCCCTCCCTCTGGTGGGTCATTGTTTCCTAGTACCACAAGACTGGGAGATTTTACTACCTCTTTAGCCTCCCACATTGGCCTTGTGTTTGAGACTGATTTTATCACTTAACCCCATGCACCCACTAAAAATTTTGCTGGTTACTCTTTCTCCCAGTAGCGACCTTCTTCTTGGGTCCTCTGCTCATATGCTAATCAGCAAATGTCCCCAGACACTGAAACAGCTGCCAGTCCGTCAGCTTACCCCTGATTGATTCTCCCTCTCTGGAATTTTAGTCCATCTACTATACATTGTTTCTCTACTTTTCTGATGCCTTTAAAAATAAGGTTTTCAAAATTTATTTGGCTTTTTCAAGTTGTTGTTACCAGAAACATTGACCTGCAACATCCTACTGCATCCTACCCAGAAGCAGAAATTTGAGTGATACATATTCCACTTAGAAAATTTCTAAATGAAATTACTTTTTTGTCTTTGGTTCTCATTTTTTTCTTTCTGTGTTGTTAGTCCTTGTTAGGGAAAAAAAGAAAGATACCTCACCCTATTTTAGTGCATTAGTAAATGCAATATTTACTCTCAGTGTAGTCTGCTATTATCTGGCTTTTTCTTTCTTTTTCCTTGAAGTGCCTTTGTTAACAAAGACAAATAATCATGGATCACTAGGATTAGATAATCTGTAAATTCAGTTTATTGTTGAGTATATTGTTATGGGAACAATTAATTATAACATTGATTTTCTTCCATGCATGTAGTTTCAGATGATAATGAAGACACTGATGGTGACGGTGTTCATGAAATAACAAGCCGAGATAGTCCAGTTTATCCCAAATGTTTGCTTGATGATGACCTTGTCCTGGGAGTTTACATTCACCGAACTGATCGGCTTAAGTCAGATTTTATGATTTCTCACCCGATGGTGAAAATTCATGTGGTTGATGAGAATACTGGTCAATATGTCAAGAAAGATGACAGGTAATTTTTTTAATTGTGCAGCCAACCCTTGAAATTGAAACTGTCTACCATAGAAGTCTCTTTTCTGCCATTGACAGTCAATGGGAATAGAGCTATATATAGATTTGTATTAGAGAATGGTATACTAATTGTAGGTGTTCATCAACCATTGATATTGATCAGTATGTTTTATAGAAGAAATGGAGAACATGTGTTAATTCAGTAATTCATTTTAAGTGAAGGGGAGTTGAGAGAGTTTCTCCCAAGCTTAACTTTCATTGTATGGCATTTAACTTGCATTGTAAATCATCTGATGTGGCACTGCTTTAATTGTCTCTAACCTCATTTTTTTCTTTTGACGTTAATATGTTATCTGTGCCTCAGATGAGACAAATGTCTTGAATTTAATTTTTCCTAATATTAATTCTATAGCTAATATGTGTTTGAAGGCCCAAACAGGAAGTATAATATTGATAAAATAAATGACAGTACTAGAATTCAAAAAAAATTATTTGTTTGGAAAAATGGCAGGCCTGGGAAACTTGAAAATTATCAGAAATGTTATTCACTTATTCATTTGTCTTGGAGCATACAAAGAAAATATGACACACCTCAAAGTACTTACAATCCTGTTGTGATCATTTTGTTATTTAAATCTAATGTACTAATTTATCACAAACTCATTTAAGATTCTGAAGGTGTTACTTAATTCCAGCTTTGTATGCCAAAGGTGTAATCACACCTCTCACTTTATGTGTAAATAATAAAGTAATTCTATGAAACTGACTGATAGTATGTAAATACAAGATGAAACTAAGATACTACTACTTTTACGTCGCATAAAATTTGTAGTTTTCTGGATAGATAAAATTTTTTTCCTTATGTATCATGGCTGTTTATTATTTTTGGTCACCTCACCTTGAACACTCTATCACTCTATTTTTTTTCTTGCCTTAAAATTGTAAAGAACTGTGTTAATGAAAGTATCTTTTTTGAACAGTGAACGGCCTGTTTCATCTTACTATGAAAAAGAGAATGTGGATTATATTCTTCCTATTATGACCCAGCCATATGACTTTAAACAGTTAAAATCAAGACTTCCGGAGTGGGAAGAACAAATTATATTTAATGAAAACTTTCCCTATTTGCTTCGAGATTTTGATGAGAGTCCTAAAGTCATCCTGTTCTTTGAGGTATGAATTGAATAGAGCAGTTTAAACTAAATTTTAGTTAATATTTTAATAGCACAAATATAAGCTATTATTTTAGTAGATCAATAATACAACAAAGTAGTGTGAGAATTTGACCTCTAGGAATAATGTATTTGTAATGTGCTATGGAGATACAAGTAATCGTGTCTTTGCTGAGCCTTTACTAGTACAAGTAGTTAGCCATTTGATTTACTCTGTATTATTTAATCCTTACAACAATGCCATGACTATTCACTGAAGTGATGAATCTAATCTATGTCTAAGCAGCCTTCCATTTTTAACCCTCTTCACAAAGAATAAACTCATTTAACTGTATCAGACTTCCTAAGATTTTGTATACTACTAGGAGAAATAAAGAAGAAAATACACAGATTGCTTGACTAATACAATGTATCATATAACCAAAATGAAGTAGAACTTCTTAGATGTCAAGGGTTAGTGGAGGGTCATAGCAGTCAGGGAAAGCTTTATGGAGTAGAGCGCCTGTGAGCTGACCTTTTTTAAAGAATTAAATTTATTTAAACTAAAAAAAACCCAAACCAGTTCACCTGTTCTCTTAACCCCCACCCCCCGCCCCTAGCAACCATCAATCTGTTCTTGTATCTATGATCTTGGTTAGTTTATTTGTTTGTTTAGATTCCACATATTAGAGAGATCATACAGAATTTGTCTTTCTCTGACGTATTTTACTTAGCATAATGCCCTTGGGATCCATCCATGTTGTCACAAATGGCAAAATTTCATTATTTTTTATGGCTTAATGATATTCCATTTTGTGTGTGTATGTGTGAGTGTGTGTGTGTGTGTCTGTGTGTCTGTGTCTGTGCGTGTATACCACAGTTTCTTCATGCATTCATTCATCAGTGGACATGTAAGTTGTTTCCACATCTGTACTGTAAATAATGCTGCAATGAACAATTTTGCATTAGGGTTTTTGTGGGTTTTTTGGATAAATGCCTAGAAGTGAAATTGCTGGATCATATGGTAGTTCTACTTTTGATTTTTTGAGGAACCTCCATATTGTTTTCCACAGTAGCCTCACCAGTTTACATGCCTACCAGCAGTGCACGAGGGTTCTCTTTTCTCTACATCCTTGCCAACACTCGTTCTAATCTTTTTGATGATAGCCATTCTAACAGGAGCGAGGTGACATCCCACTGTGGTTTTGACTTGCATCTTTCTGATGATGTTTGATGTAGAGCATCTTTTCATATACCTGTTGGCCAGATGTCTTCTTTAGAAAAATGTCTCTTCATATCTTCTGCCCACTTTTTAATCCGATTATTTTTTTACTATTGAGTTGTAAGAGTTTTTTACATAGTTTGGATATTAGCTGACTTATTATTTCTAATTTTTTACTGCAAAGGAAATGAAGGCTCAAAGTATAAAGTGATTATCCCAGAGTTACTCCAGTTTTAGGTGAAGGTAATTAGTATTTAAAGATAATTTGAATCTAAAATACCACATTTCTCTTCCCTACTTCATGTTATCTCTCCATAAGCAAAGGAAAGGAGAGAAAGCCTCTCCTCCAGTTTAAGCAAGATGGAGAATTTTAGCATGGGAAAAGCAAGGCATGACCAGAGCCAATAACTTATTTTGTAGAGTCACTTGTTTTTATGATCCTTAACTTTCAGATGATCTAGTGTGTTTATGGTATGAATCCACCATTTACAATTGTGATTATGTTGTATGATTTGTACAAAGCCATGCTTTTTAAAAAAATGATATAATTTGTGTATAAAGATATGTTTCTTTGTCATAGAAATTTGTCCTCCATTATCATAATATTATTTTATACTCATTTTAATAATATTATGAGATTTAAGAAAGTTAGGTTGTTGAATTATAAACACTTTTGGTTGATTCTTTTTTTAAAAAATTTTTTTTTGGGGTGTTAAACCCAAGTCTTTTTTTTTTTTTAATTTATTTTTAAATTTATTTATTTATTTTGGGCTGTGTTGGGTCTTCGTTTCTGTGCGAGGGCTTTCTCTAGTTGTGGCAAGCGGGGGCCACTCTTCATTGCAGTGCGTGGGCCTCTCACTATCGGGGCCTCTCTTGTTGCGGAGCACAGGCTCCAGACGCGCAGGCTCAGTAGTTGTGGCTCATGGGCCCAGTTGCTCCGCGGCATGTGGGATCTTCCAAACCAGGGCTCGAACCCGTGTCCCTGCATTAGCAGGCAGATTCTCAACCACTGCGCCACCAGGGAAGCCCGGTTGATTCTTAAGGTTTGACATAAAATGTTATTGTCTACAAAACTAATTTTTGATTTCAACTTTTTAATGGTGTATTGAGGACCACTCGATAATATCTATCAGAAGTTCTTAAAGCTATTATTCCATTTTCAGGTATTTCACCTAAGGGAAAAATGACAAATGCACAAAGATGTGTGTGTAAGGATATTTATTTAAGCAGCGTTTATAATAGCAGAAATTTTAAGGAAACAGGTCTCTTCAATTAGCAAGAGGTTTGGTTAAATAAATTGTTTTTTTATTAAATTTATGATATTTCTAATACAGAAGAATACTGGGCAGCCATTAACATGATGGTATACATATGTATGTATTGACTCGAGCTATCCACTACATATTACATGAAAATAGTTTGCAAATAGCATTGGAACACACAAAAAGGTTTAGATACCTATAAACTAGATGTTAATGTTGATCAGCTATGGGTCTGGATTATAAGTTTTTACTTTATTATATATTTTTCTTATACGGTCATTATTTTTTTCACTGAGAATGTATTACATTGAAGACAAGTTTAAGTATAAAGAAGAGGAATAAATGGAGTGCATATTATGTTTTAAGCAGTCCTCTATAAAGATTTGTTATCTCAGCTGAGCTTTTGATAAGCACCAGTAAGTGGTAGTCTCTGACATGTACCTAGAATACATGTAGTCTCTGTGGCAGGTTGGTTGCAAATCCATGAGCTTTAATATCCAGTCAGGGTAGAGATATGAAAGAAGTTCTCTTGAGAAGCCTAATGACAACATATATCCAAAGAGAAAATACCCAATTTCAGGAAGCTGATCCAAGGAAAAACCCACAGATTAAGGCCATGAGTTTTTTAAACAAACAATTCTTTGAAGTCTGCGCTCATACATTAAAAAAAGAGCAAAGCTTAAGAATTTTGTGCTAGGTGTATTTTTGCCAGGACTATATTTGAGGTAATTAATGCTTTGTCTTGAATTTTAAATAAATCTTAAAGATTTATTGATAAAAGCTAAAGTGGTCAAAAAATGGACCTTACTAACTGGATGAGTTAACTCAAAAGTGAGTGAGATGAAATAAAAATGTTTTTCTTCTCTAAGGGAGGATTTTTAAAATTTTAATAATATATTATTAGGAAATATTAAATTTTAGATAGCCTAGTATACTGTGAAGTAATTTGTTATGCTTATTTACAGATTCTTGATTTCTTAAGCATGGAAGAAATTAAGAACAGCTCTGAAATTCGAAACCAAGAATGTGGCTTCCGGAAAATCGCCTGGGCATTTCTCAAGGTATGTTTTTCATCCATTTTAAAGAATGTTTAAAATAATCTTCAGATCTGATGCGCTACTTTTTTCCAAGTCAGTTTGGTTTCGTATAAGGAGTTATGATAAGGAGGTAAGATTGCCATGGTAAAGAGTTATTAATTCAAGCTCAGGTGATGCTCATTCAGATTCTTAAATATTTATTGAGTGCTTAGTGTGTGCCAGGTACACTATTTGGCTCTAAGGATCCAGCACAGAGAAAGACACACACAGCCCTGACCTCATTTATTCAACTCAACAAGTTATTTATTATTTATGTGCCAGCCACTGTTCTAGTCAGTGAACAAAGAAGATAAACTCCTTGACCTCATGGCCTTCATATTCTAGCAAGAAAAACAGACATAGAACAATTGATTATGCAACTTAGCATTTATTACAATTTTTATAAATACTCTCAAGTTGGATGGGGTAGATGATGAAAACATCCTGCGGGGTCAGGAAAAGGTCTCCTGCAGAAGAGACATTGAACCTGAGCATGAGCTGGATGGCAGTAGTGGGAAAGAGAGAGTTCTAGGTAGAGGCTACAGGCTATGCAAAGACCCTGATGTTGGAAGGAACAAGGAATACTTAGATAACCACAAGAAGGCCACTAAGATTGGAGGACAGAGACTGTAAGGGGAAATGGTGCCTGAAGAGCTTGCTGAGGTAGACAGGGCCTTGATAATAAAAGGTCTTTGAGCCATTATAGCAACAGGGCACCATTATAAACTTTAAAGAGTAACGGGGGGCTTCCCTGGTGGCGCAGTGGTTGAGAGTCCGCCTGCCAATGCAGGGGACATGGGTTCATGCCCCAGTCCGGGAAGATCCCACATGCCACGGAGCGGCTGGACCCATGAGCCATGGCCGCTGAGCCTGCGCGTCCGGAGCCTGTGTTCCGCAGCGGGAGAGGCCAC